CGGCGCTGCGGTACCACGTGGGCGGCGGGGAGGGGTCTGAGGGGCGCGGCCCTCCCCTCCCCCCCCCATGGAAGTGCCTTCATGGAGCCAAGTAATGAATATTAAAAGTTCTCCTATTTAGTTCAAAAGACCTAACAAGAACCAAATGAGGAGGAGATGAAACTGGAAAAAAATCCACCTAGGTAATTAGGTAGAGATTTTTACAGGGCAACCACTAACCAATGGAACAATCTGCACAAGGTCCATTAAGCATCTCATCCTCAGACCAGAACCTCATCTTCTTAAAGACACATTTTAGCAAACATGCATGCTGTTGGACTTACTCTTCAGTAAAAGCTAACTAGGTAGAAGAGTTCAGGCAAAATGATCTAATGGTCCCACTTGGACTCCAAGTTGCGAATCTAGTTGGCCTATGCTTTAAAACATTGGGTTTATTGACTTTGCAGGTCTCCAAGTCACCATCAGCGAGCAGAATAAGCAGCAGAAGGAAATGCCCCAACACAGAGGAGGTTGCAGAGGCTGGCTCTGCCCTGACTGACACCACAGACGCACCGGAAACAACACGAGAGTAGCTGGACATAACGAACTACAAGATGAGCTACGCGGTGACAACGCGCTTGGCGTCCTCTGGCATCTGAAGTTGCTCACGCTGTGGTCAATGACAAAAATCTCATTAACTTTACTAGAAACTAGTTGCCTCTGTCTTGGCTATCCTTACAGAACTTGAGGAAGCTTCATCAAACTAAGTATACACCTAGTGATATGAATCACATTCATTACAATACTATGGCTAACGTTCTTGATATTTTTCTGCTCCAGTCATTTAAATGCATTATATGCATACCTTATAAATAAGATTTTCAGCATACACGTATAGGACAATGTATTGATTTCAGCAAGAATAAAGTAACCACCGTCTCTCCTTGGAGTTGCTGTGGGGTTTCCCTTTGGGAAACTCATTTAAATGCATTTAACTACATCTCTCCATGAATATGGAGAAAAGGAAAGAAAATTTTTGGAAAGAAAATATTCTTGGAATTTTAGCATAAGGAACCTGAGCTAAAACTGAGTAAGGACTTTGTAGCCAAGTACACAGTAACTTTTTAAATAACACTGCGATGCCACATGCTTAAAATTAGGCTTTCAGAATTAAAGTAGACTGATCTTTTCTCCTAGTGGACAAACTTCTTGGATGACATTCATTCATCTACTTGTCTAGTTATTTGTTTTGCTGGTAACTTTTAACCAGTTCAAATAATTTGCAGTTTAAAGAATAAACAGTGTCTGTCCTATTACTTCTGTAACTTAATTATACCAGCATTATAAATTTCCCTAGCGACATTTTCCAAAATGAAAGACTGCACCAGAATAATGAAGCATACCTTCCAAAAATTGGTTTTAACGGCTGTAAGAAGCTGGCTTTGCTATTCCTTATATAACACATAACGGATATAAAAGATATACTAGGAACAGATGTTGCCATAAAATACATTACTAACGAAGCATAATTGTATTGTAGAAATTGATAAGGAGGAAGAGGAGAGCTGTGATCTGGACAAAGGACAATTCACGAGCTATTGAGAAAAAACGAGCTTGAGACCCTGATAGCGGGCAACAAGTCTCTCGGTCAAACTAAAACTTCCTCTGCTCTGCAGCATCTAATTAAGCTGAGAATTCAGTTCTGGTAATGCACAGTGCCCTTTCAACAGCATACACGCCTGAGCAATGTAATGTTGGGATCCTTATAAAACTAAGGCCGTTGGGAAAGGATCTTTCCTGACGCGATTTGACAAGGAACTGACAGCGTCTCCTCTTTCGGCCGGGTGGTGCCGCTGCCGCTCAAGCGAACAAGTTCCCCGAGCCTGCCTTGCGGCAGCC